CTTGGCATTCGCAACGGAACCTTGTTATAGTGGAACACACCTATTCTATTGTTAATAGACTACCCCACCTATAATAAGTAGGAGTAGTAGCAGTCGCTAAGTCGGCTCGGAGAGTTGGTCAGTCAGTCGATGTCAGACGACAGTTAGTCGGATATTAAAGTATCAGCGAACACAACTAGATTTCTCTGCGTCATTACCTATTATATCAAGTTCCTAACGTTTTGTACGTCGAACCTATTTTAGGACCGACTTAGTACAAATACAAGCCTCCACTGTGAAACTACTCTACAACACTCGACGACGAAGATTCGAACTCATACAGAAAAAAAAAATACAACACTTGGCGACGAACGTATTCGGATTCATACGGAGGAAAAAAAAAATTTCGTTCACTCTCCAACAAAGCTCCAATACGAACATTTCACAGTGTGTAGGTATCAAACTGGGGATAGTGCAGATGATACGGAAAGAGTTAGATGTATCTAATGGTGGTTACGATGGTGTTTAAGGTCATCACTAGTAATAGAGACGTTATGCCTTCATTCACCTACCCACGGGCCTCAGACTCAATACGGAAGCCTACATCAAGTACTTTCAGGAGGTAGTGCTTCCCTGGGTCAAGAGGGTGGCTGCTGGAAGACACTATGTCTGACAACAGGATTCTGTATCATGCCACACAAGCAGGAGGATCCAGTCATGGATACCAGACAATTTCTGTGACCACATCCCCGCTTACATCTAGCAACTTAACTCCCCAGACTGCAACCGTCTTGATTATTATGTGGGGTGCGCAGTTGATCGAGCGATCAACAAAACTCCTTGTAAGATGAAAGATGAACTGAAGGCAAGGATTATGGCAGTATTCACTAACTTAAACAAGGAGACCGCGCAGAAGATTTGCAAGAGATTCTGAAGTCGTTTAGAGGCTGTGATTGACGCCAATGATGATTTTATTGAATAAATTTAATCTTTAATATTTCAAGATATTTTTGTGTCATTTTGGTAAATACAACTGTTAAAATGAGATGTCAATGTTATTTTCATTTTTGCGTCATTTCGCCGATAATTTGTCCATCGCAACCAAAAGAAGTGCGTCTTATCTACCGAAATGCAATATTTTATCTTGATTTTGGATAATAGTGTTAAAAACTATATTAACAGGGAAAATAAAAGGCTGATTTTTCTTCTTTTATGTACTGTTTACTTTCAGAACGTAGACGATCATGACTCTCCACAATTTCCCCTTCTTTGTAGCTCTTAACCGGACTGCCTTATTCATTGGTTTTCCATCCATTTACACAAGCTCGGTGAATATGATATCCGATGGTTGTTTTTACCACTATGGCCCTTAGTATATTCTGAGAGTGTCAAAAGCCCTTCTTCATATTACGTATCCTAGAAATATCAATTACGTCTTTCTTATTCTCAGTATAACTCTATCACCTTAAATTAAATTAAGGGTTCAATTCAGAATTTTCTGTACTTTACTAAGATCGGTATACACCTGAAGGAGCCTGGAGGTGACCAGCAACCGAAACATTGTGATATGAGGACAATTGACCGAATATAAATAATGTAAATACTAAATATAAGTGTCCTTTTTTTCCTTTTTAAAACTTCCTTGGTTTCCGTCTACGTATTCTCAGTATCTTTCTGTAGAACTAAACTTCTGTTGGCTGAACCTTTTCTTCCTCTGTGAGGTGATTATCCAGCATTTACTTCTAGATAAGAAGAGTGATATTATGTTACAATAAGAAGGAATTAAAATAATCAAGATAAAATTAAATAATAATCTGAAACAAGATCGCTATCGTGGCTTACCTGTTGAAGTAGTTAAACTGTAGCCAGGTTTATTGAAAGGCATATGAGTTCGAATTTCACTAAGGGTCTATCATTTATTTCCGAACACAAACAAATTAAATAAAAAGTTTAATCGCAGTACCTTGTTTATCGTCTTTAATGAAATATATATATATATATATATATATATATATATATATATATATATATATATATATATATATATATATATATATATATATATAAATTTTAAATCTTTCATTTCCCTTTGAAAGTAAAGTCTGAAGATCCAGATAAAAAATAGAATTCTCTAGTGAAATAAATTATAACAAATGGAGCCTTTAAAGTGGTCTATTTTCCTTTAAATTAAGTTATTCACCCTGACTTAACATTGAGCTCTCAGAATTTCATGATACTTGGGATTATCCATACGAATTACCAAGATATTCGATACTTATATATATATATATATATATATATATATATATATATATATATATATTTATAATAGTATTGAAAAGAACACAAAACTGCATCCCAGACAGTCAAAACATGAAGAGAAAGTAACGACTCCAAAAAAAAACCCTTGAAAATGGCTAAGGAACTGGTCGAAACCGTTTGGATATTTCCATACCCTCTCACTACCACCAAACAAAAAAATAGAAAAACGCTGGAAAAACAAAATATAATTTAATAAAATTAAACACACAAACATAAACACACACACACATATATATGTGTGTGTATATATATATATATATATATATATATATATATATATATATATATATAATATAACATATTTTGTGTATTTAGGTAGCAAATTCTCTTGTAGGCATGTCTGATTGAATAAATTACAGACATTATGTGTCTGCTAATTTTAAGAAAATCCGTTTATACTCACGAATAACCTTCCCTGTGTTGATGTTAAAGAATGAGAGAAATCTGCTATAGCTGTTTAAATTTCTTTTATTTTCATTCCCTAAGTACTTTCAATCTTTTTCCAAGATCATCATCAGCGGTGCAACTAATAAAAAACTATATGTTTATATATATATGCCGGCTTTATTTTTTTTTAATAAAAAGTACTTCTAGTATCTGTAATCTAATTTTGTTGTTTTCCTGGTGTAGGATTGTTGTGTTGTCGATTAGTAATTTTTTTATTGCGAATGCTGACAACAATGTTGTTGTAGATGTGTCGCGGTGGACGAATGGTCAGGCATGTGTAATGTAAGCCTTATTGTTAGGGTATTTGTCGCAAATCCAATATGGAAATAATAATAATAATAATAATAATAATAATAATAATAATAATAATAATAAAGAAGAAGAAGAAGAAGAAGAAGAAGAAGTAGAAAAAGAAGAAGAATTATTAAGAGGAAGGAAAGAACGAAGCATTTTAAGAAAAAAAAGAATTTTACAAAGAATGCAAGAATGAAGACGAACGCTAGGAGAAAGTAAAGGTGTAAAACGAATGACCGAAAAGGAAAGAAAGAAAGAAAGAAAGAAGAAGAAGAAAGAAGAAGAAGAAGAAGAAGAAGAAGAAGAAGAAGAAGAAGAATTACTAAGAGGATGGAAAGAACGAACCATTTCTAAAAGAAAGAAAGAAAGAAAGAAAGAAAGAAAGAAAGAAAGAAAGAAGACGAATTACTAAGAGGATGGAAAGAACGAACCATTTCCAAAAGAAAGAAAGAAAGAAAGAAAGAAGGGGAAGCTAGTGGAAAGTAAAGGTGTAAAAAGAACGATGGAAAAGCAAGAAGGAAAGAAAGAGAAAAATTAGAAGAAAACGAAGAAGAAGTATTACTAAAAGGAAGGAGAGAACGAAACATTTGTAGAAGAAATAAAGAAAGAAAAAAAGAAGGGGAAACCTATGAGAAACTAAAAGTGTAAAACGAATGAGGAAAAGAAAAGTAAATAAATTAAATAAAGAAGAAGAAGAAGAAGAAGAAGAAGAAGAAGAAGAAGAAGAAGAAGAAGAAGAAAAACAAGAGCAGATTTCTGAGGTTTCATGAGAAAATAACTTTTATGACTGGTCTGCAGTACTATTTCCCAATAAATCTAGGGAGAAGTGCTTTCATGCCTTTTCGAAAAGAAACATTATATGTTGCAGTTGGATTTTGAACTCTCTTACGCCGATTCTATTCTCGATTTTATTTAACTATTAGCCCACCCTAGTGAATATTAATAGTCATGCTACCTCCCCACCACTAATTTATGGCCACCCGCATATGAGCTTTTTATTTTATTTGCTTATTTTTGTGTGACCTTTGTCGAATAACAGAATGTTTTCGATCTCATTGTCTATAAAATAGATGAATAATAATACCGATGAAGAGGAGGTTGAACTGATATTTTTGTTATTGTTAGCAACAATGATTTGTTGTGACGGCAGTGGACTATGAGGATGGTGGTCATTCGTTCCCGTTGCTTGATTTCCCCTCCACGTGTATTAGTAGAGGTCGGGTAGCAACTCTGATGACAATAGTCAGGCCGATGGGCGGGGTGTTGGTCACTTATTCTGCCTCAGCGAACATTCCGTCATATCTGAGGGCCACATCTGGAGTTCGGCTCTTAAAATCTGAATTCTCCGATTTATAGATGAGTCGCCGGCCCGACTGGTCGGCGACTCTCTTGTCAGAACTTAAAACCAGTCAGTCACGAAATGGTCGTTATTCTCTGACTGCTTGTTGATTAATAGGGACTGAAGGCTTGTGATCAGAGCCTGTATGAAAGTGGGGTGGTTCGGAGTTGTGGTGTATAGAAACAGATAGCATGTATATATATATATATTTCTTTTTTTTTTTTAACTCTCAACGCGTATGTAATGGGTATGTCGAATATTAAATGATCCTTTTAAAAATTAGCATTATTCATGGAGGCTTTAATTTAAGCATTACCGAAAGAAAAAAGAAATAAAGGACAAAGATGACTGTTAAAGTGAAAACAAAAGAAAGAAGAATGAACCAAATGAAAATTAAGGGTTCATTTCATTTATAGAAAGGGAAAAGAAACAAAGAAAAAGAAAAAACGAATGAAAGGAAATAAATCTAGTAGAAGGAAAAGTAAAGGAACAAAAAGAAAAGAAGGAAGAAGATGAAGGAAATAAAAAGATAAATTAGAAAAAGAGGAAGAAGAATTACAAAGGAGAAGGAAAGAACGAATCATTTAAAGAAAGAAAGAAAGAAAGAAAGAAAGAAAATCTAGAAGAAAGTAAAAAGCTTAAAAGTACGACAGAAAAGCAAGATGGAAAGAAAGAAGGAAATTCGAACAGAAGAAGAAGAAGAAGAAGAAGAAGAAGAAGAAGAAGAAGAAGAAGAAGAAGAAGAAGAAGAGTTACTAAGAGGATGGAAATCACGAACCATTTCTAAAACAAAGAAAGAATGAAAGAAAGAAAGAAAAAGAAAGAAAGAAAGAAAGAAAGAAAGAAGAGGAAAGCTAGGGGAAAATAAAGATGTAAAAAGTGCGATGGAAAAGCAAGAATGAAAGAAAAAGAGAAAAAGAAGAAAAAGAAGAATAATTTATACGAGGAAGGAAGAAAGGAAACATTTGTAGAAGAAAGAAAGCAAGAAAGAAAAAAGAAAGAAAGAAAGAAAGAAAAAACAAGAATGGGAAATCTATGAAAAAGTAAAACGAATGATGAAAAAGCAAGAAGAATGGAGGAAATAACAATAACAACAACAATAATAATAATAATAATAATAGTAATAATAATAATAATAATAATAATAATAATAATAGTACTTATTATTAGTAATAATTACTAAGAGGAGCATTGGTTGATGCAAGTGTTCCGTATTTTGGCCACTGTTCGAGCCAAGGTAATAAAAAGGCTGATGTTGTACAATCTTATTTCCTTCCAATTAAACTTTTGCTGGACTTCAGTTAATCTTAGTAACTAATATTTAAAGAAACTTGACGCCCAAATACGTGTTACTTGCAACTGATGATCCTGACCCCATCTTCTATTCATTGACCCCGGAAAAGCGGTAAGATAGTTTACAAAGAAGGCGGGAACGCAACTATTTATTATTTTAAGACATTTGAAAACGACTTATTGACAATTAGACAATCAAATAAAACGAACGAGAAAGTGTGGCTCATCCAGACAAAACGTTGGTTCACTACCTCGTTATTAACTTGTAGGCCCAACACCACAAAGTCATGAGACTGTCAGATGTTCAGTCTTAAATAGGTACCTCACAAAACAAAGCGATATTTAAAGTTTAAAATCAATTTAAAAAAAATGAAAAATGTTTCTTGAAGCTTTTATTTTAGTTTAAATTCCAAGCTAATAGATTAAATTTAATATTTTCAATAAGAAAAATAATTTACTGGATTTCAAACTGATTTTAAATGAATTGGAATCATTTTATTCTGAGTATCAATAAAAAAAAAATCTATAAAATCGTCCATAGTGACAAATCTGTCAACGTAACATAATTCTCTATATATACTTCCAAAAATCATTAAAAAATAAAATATATTTGGCGTTACTTTGGCGTGTTATCTGCAAGGAAAATATTTACACCCAAAAAAATTATTTTGGAATGATAGCATAAAGAAAATGTAATTAAAATGTTAAAAAAAATTCTTTTATTTATATTCTAGCGATAAAAATCATGTACTTCGGCTAAAACTTCTACACCGTAAAACAGCAATCCTTCCTTTTGCATTTTTTCATTAAAAACGACAGACAAGGTACTACGGTTGAGCTTTTTATTTAATTTTTCTTGTTGTTCTGACAAGACACTTTCTTTTCTGGACAATTGAATCATCCTTGAGAACTGTCCGAATGTTCTGTATTTCCTTGGAAAATACTTTCAGCTATACCTTTAGCCATTATCCAGGATGATTCAATTATCAGCTTAAAAAAAATTAAATGTTCTGTGTGTGTTCTTTTGTGTGTCGTTTTTACACAACATGTATATATATATATATATATATATATATATATATATATATATATATATATATATATATATATAACATGCATCTTTATAAAATGTTCACACTCCTCCTAGTTTTTGTGAAAAGGACTAGAGGTTTTTATCCCTTGGTTCCTCTTTAGGTTTCCGGTTCCTTCTAAAGTCTACTGAATCTTTGTTCTCCTAACGTCTCCACCAGAGCTCTGAAATTTTATTCGCTAATTATTTATTTTTACACCTCAATAGGAGTAGATGGGTTCGTTTATCGCCCGGCTGACACTGCTCCCTGGTCTTTTGGACAGTAGTAGATTTATCCGTTGTTTTCTGTTTAGGATCGGATTCCGGTTGCTTCTGAAATCTTTTCATACCTTTTCAGTCGCTGAAACCACTTGCATCTTAGTGGCATTGTCGCCTTGCTTGGGACGTATTGATTAAAACAAATATAATAAGAATAAATCTCGCATTGTTTCCCCTATTTTTATAATCTTGTAAACACTAACGAAGGAGTCACAAATGTATTCAGTAACAGCGGTGTCAAAGGAATAACCATCCATTTGACACATTCATTTTATGAAGGGACTAAGGTTAAACATTGTCGTATTTTTTTTTATACAGGAACGTTAATTTGGTGGTTTTGGCTTTCTTTTTTAATTTTTTGGTTGTGTCGCTTATTAAAAACCTGAAACTGAACCTGTCGATCGACACGTGTTTCTATGTCTGGCCACCTTCTGACATCAAGGGAATTACAGATCTCCGCTCTCGTCTCCTACGCGTTAATTCTGTATTTGCGTGGCTTCTCTGAAGAACACTGATTGTCTGTTCTGGCATGATCTAGGGTGAGACCAGGGTCGGATTAAACCTTAAGAATAATTTAGGCTAATAGAATTTGGAGGTCCCTTTATTAGGTATGATCTTCCCCTTCTCTATAAATAAAAGATATATATTTTAGATGATGCGTTTCTGGTGTAAAACATGAAACACCACAACTAATATTTTTAATGATTTTGGAACCCATCTAATTTCGTTCATGGATAACTTTATGATATTTTTTATCCGAATTATACAGAAATATGTCTAGAATGAAAGGTGTGTATTACGAAGAAATTCTAGTACTCAAAATTCATTAGCACATGGATCCAAATACTCTAAATTGTTCCCAATTAATTCAAAGGAGCCTCATTAGACCTGAAATTAATCAAATCTCTCCTTTTCTTATATATTTACTAGCAGCATGGCCCGGCGTTGCCCGTGCTTGATTCAAAAATCGTACGACTCATACAGCAATCGCTATCACTATAAAATATTTTTGCCCTTCCTTGCCTTTAAAGCAGTGCCCTTTGCCGTGCTGATGTTGTTACATGCCTTACTTCTTGCCTTTCTCACACTGCGAACTTTTATAAGCTCTATACTAAACATTAAATCTGTTACGAAAAAAGAACTAAACAAAATGAACACAAAACGATCAGCTTAAAAAAAAAAGGACTCGTAACTGAAAAAACCGAATGAAAAAAGAATGTTAACAACAAATACTTTTTCACACCCAAGCCACTTCTGCAGAATCAGAATCAACGTTGAGTTTAAGCAAGCGAATGAGCCAATTAGAGTAAAGTGCCATGCAGATTTAAATTTTTTCCACTTGTTACGAATGCGACTATCGATTTTTTTTGCATGCTAGCATGCTACTTAACATTCGTGTCAGTCAGCTGTTGGCTCTCACGCTGGCCAATAGAATCTTCATGTCTATTCGTGGCAGCCAGCTATTGGCTCTCACTCTGGCCAGTACAAAATGGCTACAAACTCCATAAAAACTGCCGTGGAAGCATGAAAAAATCGATTATTTCCACTATCGATGGGAGTTGGGAAATGCAAAGTCGGTCTTGGCCTTTTCGCTAACTTGGAGCATGTGCATGTAAATTTTGGTGCAAATCCGTCGAAAATTGCGACCGTGCATTCGTTACACACACACACACACACACACACACACACACACACACACACACACACACACACATCCTGCCTTTTATAGATAGAGATTTTTTAAATTTTTGTCAGGAGCCCAAGACGAGGAACCCATTTGGTCCTTTACAAGTCCATATGTAAATTCAGCGCTACCTGAGATACATAATTCACATTAAACAACTACACTGCACTGTTATTTTTCATTGACTTAAACATTAAAGAGTATAAATGAAAATATGTTTATGGACTGGCGGGGGCGCTAATGAGATTTTTACTGACCTTAATCTAAAGGACGGTGTATGAAACAGCAACCTTTACATATCCTTTTAATATGCACTTTTTGCTTCTCCCTTTTCTCTCCTTGACAACAAACTCATTCAGTAACCCTCTATCTTGAGTGGCTCTTGGGCCCTTTGTTGGGTGAACAAAAGCGTAAAAGAATACAGGATTGAACACAATCAACTAAACAGGCTCTCGTTACTTAAGTTTTTGGAAACGCATCAACGAATGTAACTGAACTGAACTCGAACCACCAACATCGATCGGCAATTCCGGTCAGTAATGAAAATGTCATTTGAACCAGTAAATTCATGTTTTTAACGAACAGCAAAACTTTCAAAACTTGGTCTAGTTCTGAAAAATTCCCAAAAGAAAACAGTATCAGATTTACACTATAATTCCTCTTCTTCCTTGTTTTAACGCCTGTATTTCGCCTCACCATCACCTCACATTAATAATGAACCATTCCATTTTGACTGAGAAGACACAAGAAAGAAAAGATATATGAGATATGCTGCTTGGTTTTAGTGATTAAAACGATTAAAAAAAAAGTAAACAACATAATAAAAACAAGGGGTACTTCGACGTGATGTAATGGTTAACAAGTTTGTCTCGCTAGATCAATCACGACTGTGTAGTGAGTTCGATCCTCAGTGGGTGGCTTACACTTTCGGCCTTGTGTCATATATGAGCTACGCTTGGAAAATCATTTTTGGGCACCTCGACGTGGTACAAGCTAGATCAATAACGATTGAGTAGTGAGTTCGATCCTCACAGGGAGCCTCATACATTCAAACCTGTGCACGTCACTGCATGTACTTGATATTGTATATATCTGTTTCGGGTTAATTTCTTCGCAGTTTTCTTTACCTAAGTTTTGGTCTGCAGGGGTCTTTAGTGTTAGAAAAATAAGTTTTTTAATCAAGGATTTCCTGTCTATTTTATCCCCTGATAAGAACCACCCACCTTAGAGTTCACCTGGTAACCTATCTGATCTTTTGAAAGGGAAATTCTCGGAGAAACAAAATTTGTCTATTAATCATCCTGATTTTTTCAACTACGATTTGATGCTTTGAGATTGATGCCGGAATGGTAATGGTAGTCTTCCACATATGCTGAGATAATTCATATATATATATCAAGAAATTCAGGACCATTCTTTGGTTACCTTTAGAACTCCCCGCATATTAACAATATAATACTTCCTATTTATCTTATCTACACACTACGAAGAGTGCGACCCTGGGCGGGTTTGGTTTTATGGGAGATCAGAAGTTGCCCATGCAGAACGTCTCCCGTCTCTTGAATACTCAAAGGCCAATACGGCTTGGCACCGGCGTCGTCGGCAGAACGAAACTGGATATGACATCGGACTGATATAAGGTCAGGATTTTAATTCAGAGTTGTCCTTCTCCATATCTACAGAATCCAGACCGGGCTAGTCCATAGTTGGAGGTTTTCTTACTTTTTTTGCCACTGAAGGCTGCAGAACCCAGTCCGTCCTGCTATTTACCCATAGGTGAGAAAGAAGAGATGGACACATATCCCTTCCCAAGAGTATTAGCACATAAGTGAATGCAACGATGATGACTGGAATTCGAACTCGGCTCTTCAATTCCTCGTTCCGAGCCGCAATTCACTGTGCCTTAACATAGGGCTTTGTATTATAATGCTGACCCTATAGCATTATAAACGCTGGTTCTTAACCAGCGTTTCGCAACCTTTTTACCCTTGTGGAATCCTTGAAATGTCTCCGGCTTAAAACTATTATATATTATTATTTTTATATTTTATTAGCTATAATCTCCAAATATTCAAATGTAATGTCAATCGGCAGTTGACTTGATCTATTCCCCGTCCTTCTCTTCACCCTTTCCTTTATCACGCCTCTTTACTCCTGATCCCAATTTCTGTAACCCCTTGTGTGCTAGTGGCACTCCGCCCTTGCTTGGTGTGAAATGCTTAACACCCCCCAAAAAAAAAAAAAAAAAAAAATAAATAAATAAAAAAAAAAAAAAACAAAAAAAAAAAACGAGGATTTTCCAACATTGAGCCGGACATGTATAATAAAATAACGAATATAAAATTAAACAAAAGTCACTCAAAACTGCATTAGCCTGTTTATCACTGTTTCTCGCGGAAACCATAGTGACCTCTTGCGAAATCCTCGGCTTTCGGGGAACACCAACTGATAAACTTTGCTGTAGACTCTTTTGTGAAGTGTACAGTCTCGCCACACCCAGTGTTGCTGCTGTGGTTCTCGTAGTAAGTCAGGTTTTTAAGGGAGTAAAAATTTGCGAACTCCTCGCCGAAACAGTTTCAAATTCAAAAGACTTCTTTTCTTAAGATGGTTGCCAATCAAACCTGGAGAGCCCAGATGTGAATATCCTGGGAAAGTTTTAAAAGTTGAAGAAAAGATAGATTCATACAATTTTCAAGGGTATTTGGGCGAACGCAATGGTTTCGGTTTGAATTCAAACACATCAAGCCATTGCCTAATTCTGCGCCTATAAACGCTACGGTATGCGCCCATCCGTGTTAGTATAATAAACTGTAATTATTCAATAAAACAATCATTATCATCTTTTTTGTTATTTCCCTACAATATTATATCAGGTCACTTTATGAGTGCTACTGATACATTGGGTCATCGGTAAATAAATCGGTCCCTCCACCTGGCGTTTCTAGAGAGGAGGGTGTCTAGATATCTATCCGGATTATAAACAAGACTTGTCAAAGGACGGATGAATCTTCTTGTCTGGTCAAGAGATATCTAATTGGGATAGAAGAGGCTGCATAGCCAGGTACGCAGTCAGTACTGAAGTAAACGGTCAGCACCGAGGTTTTCCCCTCGATTGAATCAACGGCCACGTTTTCATACCAAGGTGAGCCTTCGTGATGGAGGACATCAGATTTGGTTTCGCCCGGAGAGAGATAGGCGCCGCCTAGTTTACGTGTCCAAGACAAGGTACGCATCAATGAATAACTCTTTGGCTTTCAAACCAGATATGTGGAATGAACTGATCAGGTGCTCATTTGCGCAACAACCCTAAGACCCCACCATGGCGTGGGAAGAGATTATGATGATGATGAACATATTTAAAGAGTGTATTCTATACTCTCCTGCCTTTCTATTATTATTATTATTATTATTATTATTATTATTATTATTATTATTATTGCATATAAGCTAATATAATGCTGTAGGCTATGTCCTAAAAAAGTATTCTAAATGAGTCGGTTGTTATGGCACAAGACCGATAGTATGGGGCATACACTGAAGATGGAACTCACTATTCAGTCGTAACTGATTTAGCTAGATAAGCTTGCTAAACATTACACCACACTGAAGTGTCTCAAGTCAGTTTTTATGAATAAGAAATAGCTGCTAAATTGTGATATTTCAAAGATGTGTCTTTAAGCGAAGCTTTTTGACTAACTAGTCTAATTCTTCATGTCGTATTTATGCAGATTGTCTTGTCTATATGTAGCCTTCGTGTCTGCCAATGTAATATTACTATTAAATTTGTTTCCCTTTATTCATTTATCAGCTATAGCCTGTTGACTGATTTATTCTTATTAAATTAAGC